CTCCTCACTCATTAAAGCATTTAGCTCTCAGCCTGCGCTCCACCTGGGTCACTTCTCTGTCCAGTCTGCACATTTCAAAAAGCATCTTCAGCTTGTCTGAGTCTTAGATTTGCTATTGCTTCGGGCAATTATTATTTTTGTGGATATGATAGTTCTTTGTAAATATATCATTTCTTTATGAGTACATTTTAAAATATTATGAGATGTTATACCCTATGATTGATGTCTATGTCTAAGCACATGATGACACATAACCTTTTCAAGCTTTAAAGGTTGAATCTGCTAAATGTGATGTATTACACTGTTAAAAAATAAAGGTTCCAAAAAGTTTTTTTTTTCAAGTGATGCCATAGAAGAACCATTTTTCTTAGAGTGAAGAACATTTAAAAAATCTAACAAACCCCTTTCCACTTTAAAGAATCTTTTGTGGAATGGAAAGGTTCCAAGGATATATGTTAAAGGTTCTTCATGCAACCATAAATGCCAATAATGAACCTTTGTTTCTAAGAGTGTAGTAATGGGCTCTCTCAGGCAACATAGCAAATTAAATTAGTTGATATGCTAATTGCTAAAATTCCACATGCATGTTCATGCAAGTAAAGCTGCTTGCACACAGATTCTGTTCTGAAAACAGCAGCACTTTAATGTTCATACCGAGCAAGTGGCTAAACTAAGATGATGTGCTGATTTAGCTCCAGTAAGATTTAAGCAGAGATCCTTAGAAGAGTCAAGTCCCCCCCATGCCCCCCGCCCCACTCCACTGTTACTGAAGATGACAACCTGATCCTCATCGACTGCAGCTCTTGCCATGTAAGGCTTGTAGGAGACTAAGACCATGCCAACCTAGGAATCAAATGCTACTCAAAAGGGGACAGGGTCATTACAGATGGCCACTGGTGAATACTGAGAATAGAAAACAGAGAAGAGAATGTAAAAGCAAATTTAAGTTTAATTGGTACATTAACGCCATTTTAAATCAGTAATTTAAAAAAAAACATAAAAACACAGGTTTGTAAAAAATGTGATAAATTACGATCACAGAAAATAAAATGATTTCCAATAGTCAGTAACAGACACAATACGAATGTTATCACAGTGTAATTGTGGAAGATTGCATTGATTATTGCCATTCACTTATAAATTATTTTGTAGCGTTTACAAGACAAAGCATAAATATCGGTAAGAAACAAATGACCAATGATTAAAAGTGACCCACAAGATTCTATTACAGTTTTGATGAGCTCTCCTGGGTGGTTATGATCATTATGCTGTGCCTTTCCTGTCCCTGGGGTAAATCAACTCATATATGTGAAACATGGACTATACTTGTTAAATGAAAATATTACAGTATATTTCATTTTTCTTCCTGATGCAATGTTAAAAATCTGATACAAACAACATGTTCTTGACATATAACATGTCAATAAGCTGAAATGGCACAAAGAATCATACAAAAAATAAGTTCATAATATGCAGACGTTTGCATATCTGCATTATCAGCATAATTTTCATCTGGAAAAAGTGGGCCGTTTAGAAGCAATACCTGAAACACAGTCAGAAGAGGCATGATAGTTAACATAATACTGAAAGTATTTAGAAGTAACAAAAAAATTTTAAACACTAAGATTTCTACAAACATACATTATCTATCTATCTATCTATGGCTGTGGCCCTCCAGGAACTGTTTTATATATAAAGACTGTATGAGGACGTTATGTCTCCCTCAATAACTGTATATTTATATGTAAATAAGGATCATTAAAATGTTACAGCCAAACCAACACCGTAAACACTGTTACTAAGAGGGAACCTGAGAAACATAAGCTACACTTTGACGCTGCAAAGTGGGGGAAAGGCAGGGGAGAGTGGACAGGACACCACACCTTTGGAAGGAAGAGGAGGTGGACGTGTCTGCTTTACAACATCACTCTGAGACAGTGCCTCCACTATCCAGGAGAGGGCAGTAGAGCAATACTGCACCTGAGTAACAAGCAAACAGAAAGAGACATGGAGTGTCGGTCAAAAACCTGAGGTCCGCTTTAAAGCACAGGTTCATTAAAGGGGTCATATGATGTTGCTAAAAAGAACATAATTTTGTGTATTTGGTGTAATGAAATGTGTTTATGCGGTTTAAGGTTAAAAAAACACATTATTTTCCACATACTGTACATTATTGTTTCTCCTCTATGCCCCGCCTTTCTGAAACGCGTC